TCATATAATTATTTATTTATTATTATTATTATTAATAATATTTTTTTCTTTTTTTTCTTTTCAGGCCCCCATGAACAATAACTCTTACTATTCCACTAAACCACTACCCACAATATGCGCCCACCTAAAAACTTCCACTATAGAACTTGGAATATCCAAAGTAGAAGTAGAACAAATTATAAGTAAACCCCATGTCACATTGGTAAAGGGAGGTTTTCGATCAAATAAGTGAGCGGTGCGAGAGCTTCAGTGGAGGGGCCCACCATTTTTGGTTTTATTAATGGATGCATATCTATGCAAATTTCATGCTCCAAACTCCTCATGAAGATCATCATCATCAAATCCCAAAGTTCCACCAATTAAATGCTTACATCATGCACACACCAAGACTTTAATGGCGTTGATCATTTCTGGGGAAGAGATGGATATTGTTTTCTGGTATTTATGAATACGAAGAAGCAAACGGGGAGCGAGAGTTGTTAGCAATGCAAGACATCCAGTCGATCGTAGGCAGCAAGTCTAAAGGTGGGGAAGAAGTGTTGAAACGAAAAGGGGGCCAGAACCAAACATCAAAATGGGGCTGCTATTGAAGAAAACTGCTTAACTTTCTGGATTTTTAGGGCCTGTAAAAGGTAACCATCTCATCTGGATTTTGCTTCAATGCACGATTTCAACGTTCCAAGCTCTGAATTAATCTGTAAATCTCTGAAATTCTGGATCTGATTTTCTAATGTTTTTAGCTGATCTAAATTAGCTACTACTCTCATTCCATCCTCACTCTAATCTGCGCCATTGACGTTCTCCTACCAGAATTTGCCTGGATTTGAATAATTATCCATTTGGGACGAGCAGTCCTAAGTCCTTTAATGCGTATCCACGGGGTGGCATTATCCTCCTCGATAGTCCCGTGAACTCGTCAAACTTACCAGAAAAACAACTTCTTACGGTTACTTCAAAGATTTTTGTAGTGTTTTTTGGTTTTCAATGGCTTCAAAGGATGTGAAGACTAACAAATCGGCGGTTTCGACGATCGTTAATCTAGCCGAGGAAGCGAAACTAGTGAGGGAGGAGCAGTAACCAATAGAACGATTGTATCCGAGAATCCAAGACCCATCACAGGCAGGAATAACACCCCCTGCCGAGCTCCGCTTCAGGCCACCGAAGACAGCACCATCAGAGTTTAAACAGACCCAACCAGTTTCCCTCCCATCATCGCCGGTTCAGGACGACCAACCACTTTTCTCGATGATTTTAGAATCACTTGGTCGGATTCCCATATTAAGCAAACCGATGGGGGGGTTTCGATAATTTTGAAGCAGAGATCGAAAGGCAATGGAGAGTGCATTAGCAAACGCCTCATTTATTGTAGATTAGAGGCAGAAAATCGAGTAATACAAGCACATTTTGTCAACTATTTTCTCATCCAACGACATCGTACAAGCCAAGAAATTCATCGATCATATGCTATTGAACGATGTCCCATTGGTTGTAACAAGGCAGCTCTTACATACTTTCGCACAAGAATTAGAAAGATTGGAGCCAGAGGCACAAAATGAAGTTGCTCATTACATCCTTGCTCAGCCTCGTGTCGTTTCATTCGAAGAACAGGTTCTTATTATTAGCGAGAAACTTGCTGAGTTGTATGAGTCAGAACAGCAGTGGTCAAAAGCAGCTTAGATGCTAAGTGGGATTGATTTGGATTCTGGCATGAGGGTTAATGATGATACGTTCAGATTGTCAAAGTGTGTCCAAATTGCCCGTCTCTATCTTGAGGATGATGATTCCGTTAATACAGAAGCTTTTATTAACAAAGCTTCATTCTTGGCTAGCCACTGTCAGAGTGAAGTACGGATTTTACAATACAAGGTTTGTTATGCTAGGATTTTGGATTTAAAAAGGATTTGAATTCTAGGAGGCTACACCATAAAAAATATCTAATGATGATATTCCGAGTGCACCACCATTTTCTAGTTCAATGCAGGAAGTTAAACTGTCACTCTACTTTATTTTTTTATTTTTTTAATTTTATTTTATTATTTTTCCCTTTAATTTATTTATTTTTTATTTATTATCTAATATTTTTTACTTTTAGGGATACTTTCAATCGAGCAAAGGTAATTAATTTAAATTGAATCTTTAAATTTTAATTTTAATTTTAATTTTCGCAATAAAGACAACCGATAAATTAATTGACACCGAAAGGACGGTTCAAGGGTGTTAATCCTTCTTTGACCGTAACCGTCTACCGAACCCGACATATTTCTGGTAAAACGCAGATCGGATAAAATGTTGTCCGATCCACCTAAATATTTTTAAAGTGATCGGTGACGACTCTAATCCAATTATTCAAGTCAAAACCCAATTCAAGCTCAACCGAAAGACGGCCGCGACACAAATAGTAAAGTAAATACTGAAATCAGATTTCTTAATCGAAATGAACTAGTTGCAACTTTGACAAGATTCGTTTTCAAATGATGGGATGGACCAATTTCACCAATAGTAGTGAACAAAGTTCTTCCTATGAACCTAATTTCAGTAATAATGACACAGCATCTAGTATCTGGGTGAAACATGGTGATATTTCTACAACCAGATCCAGTAGGTCTAACATAATGAATGAATGACTACAATAGCAACTTGGAAGGTCCTCAAACAGTGAGCTACATCTTACACAAAATGTATTAAAAGAAAATCACAAAAGGCTCCACCTAGAATGAAAAAAATAAAAGTTCATCATAGAAAAATAACACATATTTCCTTTCACATAATAAAATTGGGTTAAGCACGTAATAATTATTTTATTTACACGAGTTCTTGAAAAAGATGCAGCAAGTAAGTACTAAGTAACTGTACTGTAATTATTTTTTTGTTATGTAATGAGTATTTTTTGTTATGTAATGAGTAATAACCACATTCAACATATACAAACCCACCACTTAGGCTGTGAATTTTCATACAAAATTATGTCTTTGAAGAGTGAACTTCATTTGTCCCTTCTTACTTCCAATGCTTCACATATCAAACACAAAAGTTCAATTCATCAAAACAAAAAGTCTCTAACTAAATCCATAGTTAATCAAGCTTCCAGAGTATCAAAAACCTACAAAATCAAACAAAAAAGTGAATCTCGATTCAAAATGGGTGCTTGAAAAAAATCCCAAAACAACAAATTGCACTTCCAGATCTAAATTGACTCAAACCCAAATATCTAAACGAAATCAAATAAACAATCTTTAATAGGAACACGAAAATCCATAGAAGGATATGCATAAACAAATATTAAGGGATATAAAGAGTACATTGCGAGAGATCCCCTCAGCGGCCACACTAGCACCCTTTTGAAGATCTGAAGATACCATTTGTTGTGGTGGTGGGTTCTTGGCATCTTCTTCTTCTTCTTTTTTCCTTTTCCGTAGAAAGGGGGAAAAAGAAGATATTAGAAATTCGTATATGGAAACAAAGAACCTACAAAGAAATGGTTATATTTAGCTTTGATTTTCTGGAATTGAAGGAGGTCTGTTTAAGGATAGTTGGAGCTTCAAGTTGGTTGGGAGTTGAGGGGGATAGCGGCTGTTTTCAGTGGAAAATTGACCTCGAAACCGTAAGCTCAACGTGTGTTTGAAGGCAATAGACTTTCAAACGATAAGCAACTAAACGTTGCCGTTTTTGTGGTTTTCAGGTTTTGTTGTAATCATTGGGCCAGACCAAACCTATTATATTTCCATCCTCAACCCATTGGGATTTTAGTTTTAGATTTATTAGTATGAAAAGTCCTCAAAGAATTCTGAAAACCCATTCATATTTTCAAAAAAAAAAAAATGGAAAAATATTTTTTTGTAGAATAAGTACTTTACTTGATTTCTTTTTCAGTGACTGAAATTCAGAGAAATTCAAGAGCACTTTATTAGTAAGACACTTGAGCATTCATGGCTTTGAGATTTCTAGGGAATAAATGATTAAAAGTGAGAATTAAATTGGATGATTTTTAAATAGAGGGCAAAAACTTCCAAATGGAAAAAGGGAAACAAACCAAGAAAAATAATGAAGAAATAGTAGTAATAATAATAGTGGTGACAATAGTGACAAGAGCCCATGGCAACCAGCGGTGATCGACTGTGAGATGAGTGACAAACAATGATGAGAGATTCAACGGTGAAATTAATATTATATCTAAAGTCAATAATCAAAATAGAATCATTTTTAAAATTGAAGGGTAAATTAAAAATTAACCCCTTTTAACTATATTTCATATTATATGAGATTATTGTTAAAATGTGAGTTTAAAAAGATAAAATATTTATTATAAATATTATGTTGTAAACTTAAAATATAAAATATAAATATAAATTATATTTACACTTATTAATACTATAAAATATAAAATATATCATTTAAACTATAATAAAAATATAAAAAAATTAAAATAACTAAATATATTTGACAATAACTCACTATTAGTATTTCAATATATAAACCATTAATTTTATTTATTTTTAAATAATTAAATTAAATTATCAAATAATAAATACATAATTGAATGAAAATCATACATTAATAAGAGTGAAATTATAATTTGTACTCGAACGTAAAGTTGAAAATAAAAAAATTAAACATCATTATTAGTTTGAAACCACCATTTTCATCATAATTACAGTCCTCAACCTTGAACTTTTCAAACTTTTCATTTATGTAGACTTGATATTCGAAACCACTAGGAAGTTCATTTTCAGGAAGGGTTAAGAGGTGGCGACGATACAGAATAGGGTTATCTCTAACTCTAATTTGATAGACAAATCTAGAGGCACCATAAAAAACGACCAAGTCTTGCCCATGTTTTTCCATCCCAAGGAATTTGCAAAATCAAACTTCACAAAACGCCAGTGAAGTGAGCCATCAAAAACTGCTAAGATTCAAGAATATCATTTTTTTTCTTTGGCAGCAATGAACAAACTTAATCTGGTAATACAAGTAAACATTTAAACAAAAAGTCATTTTGCTTCTTACAAAGCTGATGCATTAAGATAGATTAAAAAATCTTAGAGACTTCCAGTTCTGGAAAAAGACCATACGAATGGCCTAAACGCTTAAATCCCAGATACAATAACAGTCGACTTGAAGCTTGAAAACCCTATATTACAAACTCCCCATCTCATTTTATCTACAAGGAAGCTAGTATATGATAATAACAATGAGCATCTATTTTTATCAATCGGTCTCGTGGTCAGGTGCAGGAGAGTACCAGGCGGGAAATGTGCCCTTAGTTCTAAGCATTCTGGTAAATGGGGAATCTGGCATTCTTGCTCTCTCTTCCTCCTCTAATTCTTCTGCAGATTTAGGCAACCCATCCGGGATATGCAAGAATCTCTTGCCTACATTTTCGGTCCGCACTGGCTTAGCCATACTTGAAAATCCATTGTTGTTTCCCTTGTGGATGGATGCAATTCCATGTAAGAGTCCGATCAATGACTTAACACCCCCTGCTTGAATAATTATCTTCTCCACATCCTCTTTCGGTGTCTCTTTCTGTCATGTATTACAAAACTCATTCAAGTTAGCAATGGTGTCTTGACTTTTAAGAAAAATATCCATGTAACAAACATGTTCAACACATTTTCACAATCGAGTTTAAGAATACGATTCCCCAAGTATGACCCGAAAACAAGAAAGAACCATGTGAATATTAAATATCCAATGTCAGGCATAGGGGTGTAAACGAGCCGAGTCGAACTCGAGTATTGCTGAGCTCGACTCGACTCGAAAACTCTGAAATGGAACTCGACTCGAAAACTCGCGAGCTTAAAATTTTCAAGCTCGACTCGAACTCGAAATCCTGAACTGAAGCTCGTGAGCAGCTCGAAAAGGCTCGAAATGAAAAAAAAAATTCTTAAACTTAACTCGATTGAAACCTCAAACTCAAACTCGAACATAAACCTTAAATACATAAAATCTTACTGTATTTTTTTAAAAAATCAATACATAAATATTATTATTATTATTAATTTATTTTTTTAAATAAAATCTTAATATATTATATTTTCGAGCTGCTCACGAGCTTTTTCGAGTCGAATATCGAGTAACTCGTTTCAGCTCGTTAAGAACTCGAGTCGAGCTCGAGCTCGAGTCGAGTCCATTCGATCCGAGTATTTATCGAGCATTGATCGATTCGATCTCGAATAACTCGCGATCTGTCTCATCTCATTTACAGCCCTAGTCAGGCATAGTATCTACTACTCTAAAAAAGTGAAACATGTGACTGTCTTAAAATTTTACACTTATAGAGTGCTAGTGAATCAAAGAGAAACTCTTAATTATGGCATAAAAATATACTTGAGTTTTTACTTATTCTTTTCTTACTTCGATTTATTTTCTATGGAATCGAACCAAAATTAGCTAAACTAAGAAATAAACAATCTATCTAAATTGTCATTATTCATAACCTAATCAGAATGTTAGAAGTGTTATAAATTATTATGGGTATAAAAAACTTTACAAATGAGTTTAAACGATTGTCAGACAGCACTTATTTTAAATTGACTCGAAATTTCATAAATTCATAAACTCTACTTGAATTGATTTGTAATTTCATAAATTTAAATAAATCAAATTTTTAATAATTAGTGGATTAGTTGAAATATATATGTATTATATATGGTTATGAAAATCATTTAAATTTGAATGATATAGTATCATAATATTATAAATATTTACACTAAAATTAGTTAGAAACTCAAAAAAATCAAGTTAACTAAATTTTTTTAAATAAAATTTGAATTATAAAATAGCTCTGTCAACTTGAATAACTATTTTTTAGTCCACTCGATTTAAAGCTCACTCCTACTAAGGATTTAAGTATACAGTTTCTCTTATTTTCTTTCTTCTAGGCTTCTGGTATCTCTAATTTCCTTATTATCCAAACAGGTCTAATACCTTAAAATTTTAAATCTACAAAAAGATTACCTCAAGATCTTTCAACTCGAAATAAGCTCTCCAGCAACTATAAGAATCGTCTCCTTCAAGTGTGGAACAGTAATCTGAAGAAAAAAAACACAAAAAAAATTCAAAATCACTTTGATTTAATTTTTTAAATTTAACGTTATACACAACTTATTTACTAACCAGCGAGTTGGTTCTCGGACTTCTCGATCAAGGGAGGCTCTTTGACGGCGCGCTCGAATTTCGTTCTGCTAAAAGGTTCGAGCTTCGGTATGTAGGCGTCGCTGCTGGAAGAAGAGCGAATCGTGGAAGCGAATCGAGTTTTGGACGGCGTCGATAATCCCGGGCGGTGGATATCCTTAACATCACCGAGGATGAGAGATGAATAGGGACGCAATAGGATGGACTTAATCATCTTAACGGCGAACATAAACTCAGAGCTTTTACTAGATTGATGAAGAAGAATATGTGGCGATGCGTTTAAATAGTACACCAAAGTAGATAAGGATCTAATAGATATTTTTTAATAAGATGGGTTTAGGATATTTTGGATTGATTGTTTGAATCCTATCCATAGATCTTAGGATATTGGGTTTGGTCTGTAGATCAGAGTCGTTTGATAATATGTTAGGTGATGGATAAAGCAGAATAATTCCGCAGCGGTTGCGCCCACCGGATTTGTTCTTTTTGGACTCTTACAATAACTTTGGTTCGTGGTTTGGGTTGGGAGGATTTCTCTTTGTGAAGGTAGCGTTTAGGATACAAATATCATTTTATTTTCATTTATTAAGTACTATATATTCTCAACTCTTTTTGAATCATATTATTTTTAATATTTATTATTAATTTATTATATTTTTGTTTAGTAATCAATCTTTTTTATTTATAAAAAATATCATTAATTTTTTTATTCTAATCACTGAAAATTAAATTTAACAACGATGTGAATATAAATTTTATTTACTTCATCAAACTATGATTAAAAAATCTATTTATAAGGTTAAGTTCTAAGATAACTCTTAAGTTTATCTTTTATCCTTGCATCTGAATCTAAATAGATCTCTATTTACTTAATGAACTGAATCAGTTGAATTAATTTTTGGGTAAATTATATCATTGACCACTCAATTATGTAGTCTTTTTACTTAGTCTTTTTACTTTTTTTATTTTTATCATTATTTTTTTAATTTTATCAATCAAACCACTTAACTATTAAATATGTTCAATTAAGCCACTAGCCGTTAATGGTTGATGAAAATATTGATGTGGTAGTTAACAAAATTTGCATAATTATACATTTAGTCCTTAATGTTTATATATTCTATCTATTTGGTCCTGATTTAAATTTAATTTAATAAATTTAATCCTTTGATCATATTATGACACGTGTCACAACACGAATGGAATATATTTTTTATTTAATTATTTTATTTTCTACCAAATCATATGGTGGCACGTGTCACCATCGGATTGGATGAAAAATTGAGAGTTTAAGAAAAAAACCCCGAAGTGCGGGGTTAGAGGAATCAAAATCAAACTTGGGTATGGTTGGATAATAAGCCCCCGCCCAAAACACCCAAGAAGCACTGCTTAGTTTCAAAATGCAACATATAATATATAAGATATCATAATGAATGAGAAAAAAAAGTTAAAAAATAATAATTGTTATTTAAGTTCAATATATATATATATTGTTGTTAAATTTATTAATTTGAGTTAATATATATATATATGAAAATTATTAATAAAAATTTTAAAGTTGTTACTTAAGTTTCAAAAATAGATTTAATGATTATATATATATAATTGTTGTTAATTTTATCAAATAATTTTGTATATATGTTAAAAAATAAATGAAATATATATATATATATATATATATATATATGATATTATTACTTCTTTTTTAACATTTTTTTTCTCATTCATTACGATATGTTATATGTCATATGTTGCACTTTATTACCAAAAGTAGTGCTCTTAGTTTGGTTGTTTGGATGTTGACTTGTTATTCAACTTTGCCTAGGTTTGATTCCCCTTACCCCCACTTTGGGGGTTTTCTAACTTTCAATTTTTTATCCAATCCGATAGTGACATGTGTCACCAAATGATTTGGAGAAAAATAAAATAATTAAATTAAAAAACATCTTTCATTCATGTTGTGACATGTGTTAAAATATAATTACAGAATTAAATTTATTAAATTAAATTTAAATTAAGAAAAAATTGATAGAATTATATAAATATTAAGGACTAAATATATAATTATGCTAATTTCTTTAATCGTCATGTCAGCATTTCCGTTAACCATTAGAGACTAGTGGCTTGATTGAGTACATTTAAATAATTAAGTGATATGATTGATAAATTGAAAGATCAATGATAAAAATAAAAGGACTACATAATTGAGTGGTAAATGTTATAGTTTACCCTTAATTTTTTTTTATTTAGTAGAGTTTAAAGTTTAGTAGGCAGGCTTTTACTCGTTTCTATTGTTCATTGTTTTCGCTGCTTGTATCACATGCGAATCCTTACGAGCTACAAAAAGGTCCAACTATCTTTTCAGGGAAGACAGTGCTCCAATTTTATTATTACTGGGTGTTGAAAATTGGGTACTTGAAATTTTTTAGTATTAAAATGTCGGTTCATATCTCGGTCTATTACATTTGGATACTCGTAAGTCAGGTATTAGTAAAATTTAGGTATCCGTATTTCCGGGTCATGGGTACTATGTTCATAATTTTTTTCTTTATTATTTTTCTAAAATATAAAATTTAAAGGTCTATAAAATATAATTCACATATAAAGTTTAAAAATTCAAATTACATAATTGAAAGAAAATTTATTAAAAATTAAAATTAAAATATAATGACATTTCAAATGTTTGGAAGTTAAAATAAATATTTGAAGATAATTTAGAATGTTAATGCAAAATAATTTAAGAAATTAAGAATTTAGAATGTTATGGTAGTAAAATTTAAGAAATTAGAAAATTTTAATGTTAGAGTGAAATAATTTAAGAATAATAATAATAATAATAATAATAATAATAATAATAATAATAAACCGGGTACAAGGTTAGTAGGTGCCCAGTTAAGCAAGATTTTGTGATCCAGACCTGACCCGAAAACCCCAAAATTTAGCGAGCTAGGTACCCAACTTGAAAATTCGGGTATTTTCAAAATAAATACCCGACACTTTTTAACCGAATTGGTGGGTCGAGTCGATTGGGTCAAGTATTTTTGAACACCCTTAATTACGGGTATTTAAAATTTAGGGTATAAATGAACTGAGCTTAAACGAATAAGATTATGTTCATGTTTGTTTGTTTATTTTTTAAGGTGTTCAAGTTTGGTTTATGTTCATTTTGTTCGAACCAAAATCATAATAAATATGAAATTTAACTAGGATCTAATCATTCTAGATGATTAAGAATAAAATATTAAATTTACGAAAGTGTACATGGATTAGTTGATAGGTTGAAATCCATGAATCTTTCTTTGGTTGTGATCTTCCAAGAAGATATAATTCTCTTGAGTATAAACTCTTTGACGTGATAAGAGAAAATACGATAGTATCTATTCCTTGAATTAACTAGGCAATTTCGTGGTATACTGACATTGTCAATTTTCTTGTTAGTAGTATTTTGTCTCCTAATTTGAATAGTCAGGAAAGGAAGAAGTTCAGGCATGACGTGCGCTTCTACTATTAGGATGAGCCTTACCTATTCAAGCAATGTGCTGATATGATGATATGAAGGTGCGTCTTTGAAGAGGACCAAAAAGAGATCTTATTCCATTGCCACTCAGCTTCGTATGAAGGATACTTTGGAGGTACAAGGATTGCTATAAAGGTTCTACAGTTTGGATTTTATTGGTCGACACTCTTTAAGGATGCCCAAGACTTTTACAAGTCTTGCGAATGAACTGGGAACATATCTCAAAGGTATGAAATGCCATTGGAAAACATCTTAGTGGTGGAGCTCTTCGATGTATAGGGGATTGACTTCATGGGTCCATTTCCTTCTTCGTTTGGAGATCTCTACATCTTACTAGCTGTGAATTATGTATCAAAATGGATCAAAACAGTGGCTACACCTAGGAATTACTCTAAGAACATCATGAAGTTTATTCAAAAGAACCTATTCACAAGATTCAGAGCCCCATAGGCGATTATAAGTGATGAAAGAACCCACTTTTACAATAAGTTGATTGCTAGCGCACTTCATAGATATGCGATAAGGTACAAGATTGCCACAACATATCACCCCCAAACAAATGGCCAAGCTGAGATCTTCAATCATGAGATTAAACATATATTGGAGAATATGGTCAACCCTAAGAGGAATGATTGGTCACCAAGGCTAGATGAAATAGTATGGGCCTATCAAACAACCTTCAAGACACCCCTTGGAATGTCCCCTTTCAAGCTCGTTTATGGTAAGGCAAGTCACCTCATGGTCGATCACAAACACGAGGGTTAATGGGCCATTAAAAGCTCAACATGGATGAGCATCTAGCTGGTGAGAAAAGATTATTGGAGCTGAATGAGATGGAAGAATTTAGAGCCCGAGCATGTGAGAATACACACTTGTATAAGGAAAAGACAAAGAGGTGGCATGATAAACATATTTTTCCACGAAATTTTTATGAAGGTCAACAAGTTCTCCTTTAAAGCTCAAGTTGTTCTTTGGAAAGCTCAAGTCAAGGTGGTCAAACCCATTCCAAGTTCACAAGGTCTATACCCATGGAGCTGTTGACATAAAATCCTTGATGATGAAACTATTTTCAAGGTAAATAGCCAGAAAATGAAGGCCTACACTGATGCTCCAATCTTTCACAAAAAATCAAATTTCTTTCTGTAAGATGCATGAGAGTTTGAATCTCTTTACCTTTTTGTTTTGTTATAGCACTTGTTAACCTCGCTCTATATAAACAATTTTATGTTTATCTTATTTTATTTATCTTTATCTTTGAGTTCATTATTTTATTACCTTGTGTCAACTTTGTTTTTGAGCTGCAGTTATCACGTGGAATATTCGTCTAAGGAAATGAGATAACGACTCAAGAGCTAGCCCCAACTAAAGCTACAGCCAGCTGACTTTCTTTCCAGCCAAGAAAATGAAAGTCCCTCATTCAAGCCCCACAAAGTTAACTGCATGAAGAAGAACATGTCACTATGGAGAGTGACGATGAAGAAATTGTCAACACTGCTCTTTATCCTACACCCTCACCGTATCCAAAGTCAACACCAAAGATAATGTGTCACCTTAAATGGATTGTTAGATGCGTGTGAACCTCGCCCACTAAGAAGCTTGTGCAATATGATGAGGAGATCCCACCACCACCACCGTAGTCGAGATCGAGCATCCCATCGCAGCACTACGCAAGAAACATGTGAAGCATATGGTGACGAATACACCACCACTAAAGTAAAATAG